CTATTAATAACTTCGAACGGTCATGTATCGGGTATCAGTTACATTAAGTGTTGATAAATTATCTAGGGCACGCACGATCGTATCAGGAGTGCATGAATACCCATGTTCTCCGGAGTGTATATTGTGAGCGTTAACCTGCATTGAACATTGATCGATAGGTATAACCCGTATTCAAGTAACCAAACATCATAACATGAACAACTGTATATAATGCCTCGATATAGATCTCTGGAGTGAACGTGGGTTCGCTTTATATATATATATAATAGTGATATATAGTATATATATATGGTACTATAGATATTAATTATGAGAGACAGCGAAGTAATGGCATCGAAACGTTAATGACCTTTAATCCCTGGCTTTTTGGCGACTTATTTGCTCCCTACCCCGTTAGCTACGGCTCTTACTTGAGAGTTTAGTCAATCGGTTAGAACTAGTTCTGGTAATGAGACTAGAATAATAAAGGACAAGACAGAAGTAGCGTTCACCAGTGTATTTACGACATTCATAACAAACATGAAGTCTCACATGTGACTAGGGTGGTCGATGGGGTGGCTGTGCATGGGTCCGGTTTTCCAGAAATAGAAGAGCGCTTCAACTACATAGTACGCCGGTATCAGCGCAACTTACAGCCTTTCTCAGTCGGTGGGTCTTCTACCACACTGAACGAGGCGCGCGCCGCCGCTCACTATTCGTATACCAACCGTTCCTTGTCTCCTAGTCATCTTCTCGTGTATAGGTTTTCTTCTCTTGAACAACCGGCCATACCACATTACGGAGGCAGGCCTACGTGGACTGCTACACTGACACCATATTCCGGACGATATTGGCGGGGGGTCATGAGTGTCTCCGTCCACTTTGGCCTGTGACTCCATGGTCCCGATTCTGGCCCTGATTGTCATGACGGGTCATTCTGGCGGTGTCTAGTGGTTGTCACAATGCGCAATAACTTTGGGGGAACCCTTAGCACGATGTTTGGCTGTTGCTTACTCTATGTAATCAGTAAAAAAATTCTCCCAGCCGTTCTCGGCTTCGCCTCGATGTAGCCGTCGACTCACAGCCGCCTCGGCTGCGGCTGTTGCTTTGGACATCCTCTTCGACACTGGCCGGCCGCCAAGATTGCGGTTTCCCGCATCGCCATCGCTTTCGCGTGGCCCTATGGAATTGCCGCTTATAACTAGTATATATATATATATTAGTATATATATATATATATATACTATATATAAGAATGTAATGAGGAGAACAGGCAAAAAGGGCCATTAAGAAGGTTTTACTCATACTCATAGGTCTTATGTCTCCCTGCGGGGTACTGCCGAACGGTACCCTGGGTACGGTCCGGGGATAGGGGGACGTACCCTTGTAACTATCTTGATAGTGGTTAGATTAGTAGCGCGTAGGTCGACCTCCTAGACTCGTTTAGTGGAGTAGGCGGTACGTCCGGCATATTAAGGGAAAGTTACCAGGTCGTACGCTTCCGGGTGAAACGCCAGACCGTACCATAGTACGGGTTCCGGCAGTACCCAAGGAAACATAGACCCGACGGGCTTTTCTCATTGTTAGATGTTTTGCTGACGTCGGCCTCGCTATGAGATAATGAGCATTAAAAAAAGCTTTACAACTTCGTTCTTCTCTTTCTGTGTTCTTTTCTCTCTTTGCGCTAAATAATGTGCCGGTTTTATGAAAAGTCACTTCGCTGTGCTGTAATTATTCGCCGGACAGTAGCGTGCAGTGTCGGCGGTCTATAGTTGAATAAACTTCGCCTTTTTGAGCAGTTGCCTGTAACGCAGTGGCTACGGGGCCGGACGGTTGAGCGTCCGTGTCGTTGAAGCCCCATTTTAGCGTTGAGGGGTTGAGGTTTAGGGTTAGGATTAGGCGTCAGGGTTTATGGTTAGGGTTAAGGTTTAGGGTTTAGGGTTAGGTCTAGCTCATCTGAAAATCTCAAATCGGAATTTATTTCCCAAGTGGCGTTTATTTCGAAATCTGGCGTGTTCGACCGCCGCCATCTTTGTCTCGTTAAGGTATGAAGCGAATGGACTCCCGTACCGTAGCCTCGAGGATCATTAAGATACGGCCTTACCGTACCCGTTAGCACTGCCGCTACATGTAACCAGGAGTTAATAATAGACAATTTGTCATTATTAACTCCTGATGTAATGCGTTTACAGTATTGATATCGGGTGATTGATATGTTGTGTTCCAACGTGCACAAATCTCTCCCGTTTAAAACAATGGCATATAGGGTTCATGAAGTCCTCGTTTGAGTTTATTTGATTTGCAAAATATGAATAGAAAATATAGGAAATGCTAGCTTATACATTCACGCACATTTATGTCAAGATATATGTGATTATATCTGTTGTATAACTGGTGTTATCGTAGTATATTTTATCAGATGCATTAACATGGGAACTGCGTGAAATTAACATCGAGTGCTATTTTACCTGCAGATTTCAGTTCGAGCCCTAATAGTGACAGTGAATTTACATTGCTCCGATTGTGTGGTGAGCGTGCTGGTCTGCTGGTGCAGCTTTATAATAAAGCGATGAGATGCGAGTTTGTTAAACATCTTACACGAGTGGGTTATTGGTTTCATTAATTACATGTCTTCTGCATTTATTTGGTACTATATATGTGTGCGTGCGTGCGTGCGTGCGTGCGTGCGTGTGTAAATAGTTTTTAATGCTTTTGTGACCATAATTACTTTCTATAATAATGAACAATAATAATAATAATAATAATAATAATAATAATAATAATAGAGGTAACTTATGGAAATGACAGAACTAAGGCAATGATAATACATTAATAGTGAACATCTTTTAATAGTTAATAAATAGATTTTTAAGCTGCCTAATGACTCGTAATTTTCGCAAATTGTAAACAAAGATAGGGCCTAATCATATTTACGCGTCATTCATATCAATTTATTCACTCAATCCGTAAAAAATCATTATTAAAAACAAGCAATTTCCCTTTTGCACATTTAATGTACGAAGTAAAAAATAACAAAATTTCTGGATTAACCGCTAATGTGCTGCTATTTGCGTCGAAGTGCAGTTCCTTTCTGAGAAGGACCATCGGGGGTTAAGCTATACTAGATGACTTGGTGCGATTAGGCCTGCTAGATAACTTGGTGCGATTACTAGATGACTTTGTGCGATTGCTAGATGACTAATTGGTGCGATTACTAGATTACTTTGTGCGATTGCTAGATGACTAATTGGTGCGATTACTAGATGACTTGGTGCGATTACTAGATGACTAATTGGTGCGATTATTAGATTACTTGGTGCGATTA